TGACGAGTCACTCCAGGTATGATTATTAGTCCGTTTCCAATCACATGGTCAGTCATGACTGACGTTCGCCTAGCTTATACATGTCCTCAATGCTCCTGGGAATGCTGGAATTGCCAGATCTATCCAGGAGAGGTTGCAGGCAATCCAAAAGTCGGAGGCGGGGTGGGCCATTGCAGATGGACTTTTGGCCAGTGATGACGCCAATGCAAGATTCTTTGGTGCCCTCACCTTGACCGTTAAAATCCATCAGGACTGGTAAGCATCTATGACATCGGGGTTTTCTTCTTTCTTCCGTTTCGTTCAAGATTTTGCTAATAATTATCCTAGGGAACATCTTGGGGAAGAAAAAGCCAAAGGGCTTTTGGAGCATCTGATAAATAACTTCGTCTCGATGGTCTCAAGGAACGAAGCGGCAGTAGCCATGAGGAAATTTATGTCAACATTGACTACCTTCTTTTTCAAGCCTGAAGCTCCCTGGACTCATTGCATACGACATGTTGCTATTGCCATGGCTAGTGGAAAGTGCCTCCCAGAAGATCAGTGCGAGCAGGAAAGTTTCGAAAAGCTCGCTCTGCCTTCGCTCAGTTATGAACGGATGCTCCCGCTTTTGTCCTTTTCTACTACCCTAGCTGAAGAGTCATCACGGTATTCCCTGAGCCAGTGAGTTCTTGGCGACTTGCGGTCTTTATTACCTCGACGGGGCCGTTTTCTGACTATACATGCAGGGATCTCAGAGCTCGTTTAGGTCCCAATATCAGGGATGCAATATATCTGATAGAGTTCGTTTTAGAACGAGTATCCAATTTACATGGAGCCGCAAATCAACCTCAATTCTCGGATCCCTTAAATAAATTAGCTATTGAAGCCATGAAATCTTTCAATGTGAGAATTTTAACCCCTGTGTGAACTTTACTGTCACCGCTAAGTTTTTGTTATAGGCATGGCTTATTGCAATCCGAGGAGACCGCGTCTCTCTAGACGATCTTCCAAAAGTAGTCGCCGTACCTTTGAATTATTCCGTTCAGTTTTTAGCGGTGCCTGAACTTGCAGAGATGGCAATGGAACTTCTTGCCGAAATTCTTAGTAGCTATGCAAAACTACTGGGAATTGAACACCTGACTGCAATCCTGCAATTCCTCTCAGGAAATTTCGGGGAAAAGTATGCCTTGGCTCTATTAAACGGGGATTATGATGAGGACTCTATGCGATTCTTGGATTTATTACTGCGATATGCAACGACGGTCCATACCCAACTCTTCACTGGAGAATTAAATGAACAGCAACGAAGGATCCTTTTCTTGCTTCATACCCTTTTCCGCGGACCAGGGTTCGCAGAAGTTGACGATAAAGCGAGTTCACTTCTTCTGGAATATTGGACTGAGGCAGCTGATGATATTAACGATTATATCATGCAGCGCGGTGTGGACGTTTTCCCAAATCGTGTAAAAGGGGAGTTTGCACAAGTCGTCGCTTACTGTTATGACAAGCTCCGGTATCCTGATTCGTCAGTACTGAAGGGGTGGGACGACGACGACGTGAGAAACTTCAATGGATTCAGACGTGACTTCGCAGACTTCTTGCTGGCCACCTATTCTCTTCTAGGATTTGACCTTATTGAAAAGCTCGTTGAGCGAGCAACTAGCTTGATGAACACCAACATATGGGACGGTTTTGAAGTAGCAATATTTTGTCTTGGTTTCTTGGCTGACTCTGTTGCGGATAGTTCGAAAGTGGACAAGCTACTTCACACGATTTTTCATTCCGAAATATTCGATGGCATTTGTTTTAACCGAATTTCCATTCCTATGAAGCCTCGTCAGACCCTATCTGACATGATTGCAAGGTACACATCATACTTTGAACGCAACCACGACCTTCTTCCACGAGTCCTCAACTTTCTGTTCAATTCCCTTGATGCTCCGTCATGCGACCAAGCTGCGTCCAAATCCATTTCATTCCTCTGTCAGAACTGCCGCCAAGCACTCCCAATGTACGTCGATGATTTTATAAGTAAGCTGGATCAGCTTCGCTCCAATTCCTCCGTTAATGTCACTACTCTTGAGCGAGTATCCGAGGGCATTGCTGCAGTTGTACAAGCGGCCACTTCAAATACGGCCCGGGCAACATGCCTGGTGAAACTACTAATTCCCCTTCATCAGTTAGCAGAACAAGCCAGAGTAGAAGCCCAATCAGGCCAGTACGATGACGCGCTTGAAAAGGGGATCGGGATAATGCGTTGCACCGCAAGCATAGGCAAGGGGTTTCGAGCTCCTGATGACGCCGTGATCGACCTAGATACAGAGGCAGCAAGTGAAAGCACAGATACTTTCTGGACCAGCGATGAACTCGGCAAATCACCACAGGCTTACGTGATTCAGATTCTGGAGCTCTTAATAGGCACATTCCCTACTGATGGTGACATAATCGAAGCTACATGCGATATTCTCAAGGCGGGATATACAGAACGCACGCCGGGCCCATATGTCCTACCACCTCAAATTACTATCCGCTTCATCAAGGCTGCTAGCGTTAACTCACCTCGCTTCCCGACAATTATGGGAACGGCCTCCGCTTTTCTAGCTTCTCACTCTGCTCATCCCTCAGCAGTCCAAGATGAAGCCACTGAACTAATAATCCACGCCTATGAACTCATGAACTTCGTGAGCGCCCAGCCGGATCAATACGATCCGGAGGTCGCGCATAGCTGCATTGATTTTCTCAACCTGATGTTGCCCAAATACAAAACAGCATTTTTTAACCTTATCCACGCGCCTACACCCCAGCACAGTGTCGTCGTTCCCACGATCCTCACATTCACACTGGCAGTACTGAAACGCCACGACCCTCTCCCTCTCCGGTCTGCTTCCGTATTCTGGTCCACCCTATTCTCCCTCACAGATCTGCCAGTTGAGCTCCAACCAGGGACGGGCGGTTCTATCACGGGACACCCGGTTGCCACGGCAGCTAACGGTACAATTCCCCAACATGCGCAGCATTTCTTCGACACCTGCCTCGCATCACTTGGAAATATACTTATGTATCACATATCAGGTCACTGCGCACGCTCGGACCTTGACTACCTGTGTGAGGTTATTAAGAAGTTCATATTCCACTACCAGGGTGCGGCACGTGTGCATTTGGGGGCCGCGCTGGCGGGAATGGATAGTTCAACTGCACCAGGTGAGCCGGGAGGGGGAGGACGGGTGCCGGAGAAGGCAGAGCGAGAAAGATTCTTATCATCTATACATGCTCGCTGAGGGGTGCTAGGGGAACCAATCGTGTCCCTGTTAAATGTTATTGGGTGGCATGCAGGCGCGCACAGGGATTCGCGTATGCGAGCTGAATTTGGTCTAAATAGGGCTTGGCCAAATTTTTTTAACATTCGAAAAGTTCAAATTTCTGAATCGGGGCCGGAGCAGGAAAAGTTAGTCATGTAAATGCATTATATGCATGTTTGTGGCTGTTTTGCCTAATAATAATAATAATAATATACATATTTATTTATATATTTTATTCCCTCGGTTATGTTTATGAGATGATTTGTATCAACAGGCTAAGTAACGGTATATTTCCGACAAAGGATTTTCCCCCAGTTGAACAAGGGAGAGAAAGAGATGCACGATAGAAGTATTCTAAGAATCATCCCTAGTGGTACAAGTTTCGTGGCTGGTTCGGGTTTCTTGTGCAATCAACCGAAACCCGCGTGGAAAAATTGGGCCTTCCCTCCCAGCAATATATATTTTAATTCGTAAACCTTGATACATATAGGTATATAGAGGTAAATGTACACGAACATACACAGCCACCGAATAACAGCAGATTGCACCGGCTTACGCCCACGCGAGCGCGCAAGGTACAGTACACAGTTGAAATAGCAATCAAGACATCACCAACACATCCATCATTGGTATCAAAAACCCCTACACACTCATCAAGTATTTTCTATTTTTCAATTCCCCCCTTCCCCCCCCTCCTTTTACCATCCTCTTGTCGCCAACTTCTCCGTGTCTCTCATCTCCCGCACGCTAATGCCCACCATCGCCTCACCCAGCCCTTGGCTCAACTCCGCCAGCGCCTTCGCATCCTTAAAGTGCGTCACAGCCTGGACAATGGCTTTAGCCCGCTTCCGCGGATCGCCAGATTTGAAAATCCCTGACCCGACAAACACGCCGTCACAGCCCAACTGCATCATCAGCGCCGCGTCCGCGGGCGTCGCAACGCCTCCCGCCGCAAAGTTCACAACAGGCAACCGACCCTTCTCCGCCGTCTCCAGCAGCAGCTCGTAGGGACACTCCAGCTCGCGCGCGAAGGCACGCAGCTCCGCTTCCGCCTCAACACTGCCGTTGGGGTAGGAGAGGAGGATGGAGCGCGCCTTGGCGATCTGACTGTTCACGGTGCGCATGTGGGAGACGGCTTCGACGACGTCGCCTGTGCCTGCCTCGCCCTTTGTACGGATCATCGCAGCGCCTTCGGAGATGCGGCGGAGGGCTTCGCCCAGGTTCCGGCAGCCACAGACGAAGGGCACTCTGAAGTTGTGCTTGGTGACGTGGTAGAGGTGGTCGGCTGGGGTGAGGACTTCGGACTCGTCGATGTAGTCGACGCCGACAGCTTCGAGGATCTGGATTTCGCAGGTTTTTTTTGGTTTTTTGTTAGAGATACGCACTCTTATTATTCATTGTTTAGGGGCGGAGGAACAGAACGTACCTGACACTCGACGAAATGCCCTATCCGCGCCTTAGCCATGACGGGTATCGTCACGGCTTCCATGATCTCCTTTATCATCGATGGGTCGGACATGCGCGACACTCCGCCTTCAGCACGGATATCTGCGGGCACCCGCTCGAGGGCCATGACGGCGCATGCACCTGCTTCCTCGGCAATGCGGGCCTATTATCATGGTTTAATCAACGTCACTTTGTCAGCCTGATTATGCATAGGGGGAATTGTGATGGTAGATCGTAAATTGATAACGGTAGTTGCGCTGGAAGGAGATGGACGCTGCTACGGAAGAAAGGAAAGGGTCGAAATACCTGTTCCGCATTGACGACGTCCATGATGACCCCCCCTTTCAACATCTGGGCCAGACCAGCCTTGACTTTGAAGTCGACAGGTGAGGAAGATGAGGCGGAGGCGACAGCATCGCTGCCGGTGGATATTTCTGGTGCCATTTGGGGTGGGATGAGGGGCAGGAATTTTTTTTTTTTTTCTTTTCTCTCTCTCTTTTTTTTTTTTTTTTTTTAGGGCAAGGGGACAGGCCGGATGCGTTGAGAAAGATGGATTCTGACACTTCTGGGGACGCCCGAGGAATATAAAGCGAAGATTTTCTGTTTGAGCCAAAAGCGCTGAGGATTCGAGTTGATTTGAAAAAGTAGAAAGTGGTAA